GATGCGGTTGTCTTCGTAGATCGCAGCGCCTGTCTTTACTGTTCTCCTCCAGGTCGGCCGATCGAGTGCGAGCTCCTCCCAGTTGGTGGGGTTGATTTGCAGGCATTTCAGGGAGGACTTCAGGGTATCCTTCTAACGGCGAATCTGGCCTCCTTGACGGCGAGAACCCGTCGCGACGTCTCCGTAGAAGAGTCGTTTGGGTAGCCGCTCGTCGTCCATGCGCACCAGGTGGCCGCACCAGCGCAGCTGCATTTGTCTCAACATGGAGTAAATGCTCAGAATTCCCGTCCGTTCCAGCTCTTCGGTGTCGGGGATTCGATCCTGCCACTCTAGCCTCAGGATGCGACGAAGACAACTGAGATGGAAGTGGTTCAGACGACGCGCCTGCTTTGCGTACACCGTCCAAGTCTCCGCTCCATACAGTAGTGTCGGCAGGATTACGGCCTTGTACATCTTCAGCTTCGTGCACAGCTGAAGACCGTGGCGATTCCAAACTGTGCTTTGGAGACGACCGAAGGCTTGACTGGCTTTCGAGATCCTGTTGGCGACTTCGTCGTCGATCTTGGTGTGGCGGGAGGGAGTACTGCCCAGGTACGGGAAGTTCTCCACCACTTGCAGTTGGGTTCCGTTCACGCTGATTTGCGGCGACGCGTTGGGGGCTGTGGCTGAGTTGGGTGGCGGTTGGTGCATCACCACCGTCTTCTGTGTGTTGATGACCAGACCGAAGTTCTCGCAGGCGGCGGAGAACAGGTCCATGCTCCGTTGCATCTCCTCTTCCGAGGTGGTGTTCAGGGCGCAGTCGTCGGCGAAGAGGAGTTCGTGAACAGTGGTTGTGGATACGCGCGATTAGAAGTGCATCCGCAGTTGATTCAGCAGGTGACCGTCCGTCCTGTAGGCGATGCGGATCCCGGGGCGTTCGTCGCGGTAGGCGTCCATCAGCATGGCAGAGAACATAAGACTGAAGAGGGTAGGCGCCAGTACACAGCCCTGCTTCACTCCGTTAGTCACTGCGAATGCCTCTGAGACAGCTCCGTTGTCTGTGACTCGCGCCATCATACCGTCGTGCAGCTGACGCACCATCTGAGTGAATCGCTCCGGACAGCCGAATTTCTGCATGATCTTCCACAGTCCTTCACGATTTACCGTCTCGAAGGCTTTCGTCAGGTCCACGAAGGTAGAGTACAGGTGAGTCCGCATCTCCTGACACTTCTCCTGAAGTTGACGGGCGGCGAAGATCATATCCGTGGTCCCACGATGACGACGGAAGCCGCATTGGCTTTCCGGCAGAAGGCCCTGTTCCAGATGGTTATTGAGGCGGTTGAGGAGGATTCGTGCGAAGATCTTCCCGGCGATGTTCATCAGGGAGATGCCGCGGTGATTGTCGCAGACTTGGCGATTCCCTTTGCGCTTGTAGAGATGCACGATTGTTGCGTCTTTTAAATCCTGCGGGACTTCACCTTGACGCCACATCTCTTGGAAGAGCGCAGTCAGGTGATTTATCAGTTGGGGACCTCCGTGCTTGTAGACCTCAGCAGGGATTGCGTCCGGGTGCTTTCCCGCTGGAGAGCTGCTAAACGGCCCTGATGGTCTCCTGGAGAGATGGCGGGAGGTCGAGGTCCACGTTGGTCTCCACTTGCGGCAAACGTTCGATGGCGGCGTCGGAGATGACGGAGGGGCGGTTGAGGACACCTCGGAAATGCTCGGCCCACCGCTGTAGGATTTGAGTCTTCTCAGTCAGGAGAGTGTTGCCGTCGGCGCTGAGGAGAGGAGAAGTGCCCTTCGTCGGCGGACCGTAGACAGCTTTGATCGCGGAGAAGTTCTTCCATTCATTCCGGTCCGCGTAGCCTTGGATCTCCTCAGCTTTGCGAGCAGTCCAGGCGTCCTGCATCTCGCGCAGTCGTTGCTGAAGTTGGCGGCGACTGCGGTAGAAGGCAGTTTTGGTGGCATCAGTGGGGTGATCTACGTAGGCTTTGTGTAGGCAGTTCTTCTCCGCTAGCAGATTTCTGATGGTGGCGTCGTTGTCGTCGAACCAGTCCTGGTGTTGGCGGGGAGCGCGACCGAAGACGTTTCACAGGCCTGTGCTACGGACCTTGTAGACAAACGCCCCGAGAACCAGGCGCTACAGAAATGTCTATATAGACTCATTATCGTGCTCTTCCACCCGGACGTGTTAGGTGTCATGCAGAAGTTTTATCTGCGATCAAAGGCAGGCGACCCACAGTCTACCGGCACCTAATTGGCGTCCGTGACCCTACCGTTGCCTGGTTGACCAAAAATCTGGTTCTGTAAGCCTTTGCATTAGCACAGAGGGCTATAAATCCGTAAATGAGCTCTCCATTTTTGCTTTACAAATGACTAGGTTGTGGTGAGGTAGCGGACGAATTTACCTTTGACAATTTAGTCCTGTTTTCTTTGCCCGGATTGCTTGTTTGAATGTGACGAAAAACAACACACCTATACAACCCGCCTTGCTGGCCTGCTTTGCTGTCGCGCTCTGTTTTCAGGTTACTTAACGTTTAGAATGTCTATATTATTCACTGCTCAGGTTTACTTGCTGCCTTTAAGGCTAGGGGCTCGTGAGATATAACTCGTTAGTTCGTGAGAACACGACCATTTGCGTCAAGGGCACAATCACCGCCTGAAGTGATGGGCGAAGGTTGACCATCCCACGGCGGGAGCTGCTGCTGAATGCAAACCTAACTCGAAGGGTGCATCGATAAGGGTTTGTGGGCTCGTCTGCTCGTTAGCACTAGAGAAGCGGAACCGCCAGAAGCCCTTTGGCATGTCCGAAATCAAGATCACTCGGAAAGGGCGTTTGCTGAGCTGGTCTGATCAACGCGATTCCACGTGGGGAGGAGGTGGTGGCATAATGGCTAGTAGTCTATAATCAAGAAATGTTGCCGAAACATACGAAGCATTCTCCAAAAAGCCGGCCAAAAAGGTTTGCTACCAGATATTGCTGTCCACTTACGCTGCTGTGGGGTCAACTTGTTAGGTTTCCGATGGCGGGTTTGTTTAAAAGCCAACTAGACACGTGAGAATACTCTTGCACGACGCCGGTTCTACCTGTCTGTCTGCGCGGTGGACTTTCTAACGTTACCGTTGGGCGAGACTCGTTGAGTATTCAGAAGAATAAAAAATCATTCCTATTGACACTGGCCGCCATGGGCCTCTCCTTACTGGTCGACTAAGAGCACAAAGTGGTGGTCAATCCTTATCATGGCCGAAGTTGGCGAACCCTTTCTTCGTCTTAAAGCAATGCGCTCATTTCTCTATCCGCGCATTGCGTTGATTCCAGCGGGAATTGACCAGCGTTTCCCCGAATTTGAAAACAACCAAAAACGAGTAGAAATAGACAGAAGCAGAAAGAAGTGGACATACAGCATGCACGAGTCCATTAGGGCTCCAAGAACCGAGAAAGTCCGATCCAAATCTAGTATTATTCTGCAGTTACAGCCAAAGGAACCTTGCATCCTAACTACCAGAACTGGGTGTTACGAATGAAAATGGTGGGAGTTCCGGAGACACCACTCTGTTCGCAGTCAGTCCGACGAAAATTGAGGATACGCTTAATCCTGAAATGTTATAAGGGTTCCTCATCCCAATATATTTACTTCAACTTCCATAAATTTAAGATATACATATGTGGTTCGACTCACACCATTGTTAAAATCTTATGTATTCAAAAAGCCGTCCTCGTTTCTAAAGCCCCTGAGTAGCCATTCTTATAATCCTGATCCACATCGAAACCTCGCATCTTCTGTAAGTGGATCGTGAGGGTGACAGAAGTGGAAATTCTCAAACACAGGAATCATTCGTGTGCTGTCAGTACGGTAAATCATACAGCATGTATAAACTACCGGCTGCCTATTGCTAATTTATCCATATTATGCGGTTATCCCACTGAAGCTCAAGGGTCTCGGTTCAAGTATTCATATCAACTTTTGGACTGGACCTATAAAGCTTCAGGTGAGGTTTGAATGATACTACATGGTTAGCTTACTAAAACAATATTAGCCAACATACCTAGTTTAGTCACTCACTGGATTAGGAAGGGAAAGAGAGCGCAAGCTGAGCTCGAGACATGCGCAGGGAAGCGAATAAAAGTGGCGTGTAAACACCCCCTTCCCCGACATAGCCACTCGCTGGATTCGTAGGATAAGAAGGGCGCAATCACAACCGGAAGACCGCTGTGGGAACCGCGTGGTAATTCGCAATGCGTGGCCACTCTAGTGGAACCGATGGAGCTCCACACCGTCGGAACAATTCCACTAGCATGTCTGCTTGGCCACTCTCTGGATTAGGATAATGAAGAGAGCGCAAGCAGGGCTCGAAGCCCGCACAGCGAAGCGCGTGTGAACTGATATCTGGAGTAATCGAGGCTGGCGTATAAGCACTCCTACCCCGTGACACAGTCACTCGCTGGACTAAAATAGTAAGGAAGATGTAAATGCGTGATATCTGTAAGGTCAACGTATTCACATCTATCAAGTTTTTTTATTAACTAACCATATGATATCACTCAGGTGGGACTGCAGGACCAAACCACGTCAAGCCTCATTCCGAATAATTTACTCAAAGTTAACGCATCCGTTTCTGAGGAGATTAAAAGTCTGACATTTCAAAACGGTACTATTTGCCAGAGAGCACCTGGGGAGCCCACTGATAGAGCGAACATCTCGCAGTTGTGACATGCAGCGGCAAAATATTGTCGAAACACCTGTCTGGACCGCTCACCTGCCCCCCCCCTTTCCCTGTTGTAGCGGTCTCCGTGATTGCTCCTCCTTCTAGGATATGCTTCGTCCCAGGACTGTGCGCCAACTCTGAACTGGACTGTTTGTCAACGTCATTCATTCTTCACTCAGTCACACAAACCAGTTCAGCACTCAGTAGGAGAAGAAGTGTCCGAATGCGAGAGATTTATATCGTGAGATAGATGACACAAATGTAGGGGAACATACAGTCCTAGCAAAATGTGGAATAGCCGGCAGTCAAAATTAGGTTTTTGGATAATTCACTATTGTATGTCAGGAGGGGGGGGGGGGGCATTATATCCACTGAAACCGTCTTCTCGAGCCTGCGTGGACCGCCGTTCTGACTTGTGAGGCAAAGAAGGAAAGGGCACGTGAGAAGCTCAGCACTGCAAATCACCCGCCCCTCTTGGCTTCAAACCAAACAACGACCGGCCACGGTATGGAGAAAGACCCCACTTAACGGACGGCAGACTGTGGATCACGTCATATGGGCTTTTATCATGGTATCCATTCGCAGACATTACACTGCCACTAACAATCACTTGCCAGGACTTCAAACCATCATTCCAATTCCTTTATTTTTGAAGTTTACTTTTTGTTTATTTTTAAGTACCGCACTAATTTCTGTTGTCGCACTAAAGCGTACGATGAGTCTTTCGGGAGAAATCCAAACGATTTCTGTGTTTTCCTGCATGTTGTCAGCTTTACTG